CCTGTCTGCCAACAGTTGCCAATGCCTGTGCTCTAGGGGATGCCCTAGAGCAGTGTTTCCCCATTTTATTTGGCCACGGAACCCTTTTCAACTCGAAAGAATTTTGCAGAACCTCTAACAACAGTCTTATTTATGGAGCTGAAAAAGTGACCACAAATAAGTAAGGATAATAATAAACAAATGCTAAACAAGGTCATGGGATCAACACAAATGAAACTTGTTTTCAATAAAAATAATAAATGCTTAAATATTACTTATTTTTAAAAATCATAAAATGTTATTGTAATGGAATTTCTTTACAGAACCCTTATTTTCACTTCGCAGAACCCTGGATGTCTGTGGAACACCATTAAGGAAACACTGTCCTAGAGGAAGGGAACACAACAGGGACTCCTCACGTGATCCCTCTTCTGTCACCCATTTCCAGATAAACAGAGACTAAGGACACCGTTCCTACTCATCCTGGCTAACAGCCATTGATGGACCTAACATCCATGAATCTATCTACTTTTTTTGAACCCTATTAAAGTCCTAGTCTTCACCACATCCTCTGGCAAGGAGTTCCACAGGTTGACTGTGCACTGAAGAAAAACGTCCTTCTATTTGTTTTAAACCTGCTGCCTATTAATTTCATTTGGTGACCCCTAGGCTATGTCTACACTCACGGCTTCTTGAGCGAGTAATATGCAAATGAGGCTAAGCATGGAATATCGCAGAGCCTCATTTGCATACCTAATGAGCCACCATTTTTTCAGAAGAGGCTCTTGTGCAAGAAGGAGCTGTCTACACTGCCCCTTCTTGCACAAGAAAAACCCTCTTGCACAATGCTGTTACACCTATAACTTTTCAGGAAATAGCCCTAGAGTAGGGGAGAGTAGAAATAGCCCTAGTTCTTATATTGTGGGAATAAGTAAATAACTTTTCCCTATTCACTTTTTCCACACCAGGCATGATTTTACAGACCTCTATCATATGCCCCCTTAGTCTCCTCTTTTCTAAACTGAAAAATCCAAGTCCTTTTAATCTCTCTTCATACGGGACCCGTTCCAAACCCCTCATCATTTTTGTTGCCCTTCTCTGAACCTTTTCCAATGCCAATATTTTTTTTTGAGCTGAAGCAACCACATCTGTATGTAGTATTCAAGATGTGGGCGTCCCATGGTTTTATAGAGGCAATAAGATATTCTCTGTCCTAGTCTCTCTCTCTTTTTTAATGATTCCTACAATTCTATTTGACTTTTTTGACTGCCCCGATAGCAAAGATCCCTGGGCTTTGCAGAGCAGACTCAGAAACAGCCCCAATGGGGTGGCTTCCCAATTGGTCCATTCCCTGGGGTCCACAGCCAATGGATTGCTGCCAGAACCTGCCCACCTGGTCCTACGTTATGTCTACGCTGCAGCTTTTTTCACCCAGCAGAAGACATCCAAATGAAGCACAAATTTGCATATCTTACACTCTCATTTGCATATCCTCTTCTGATCCTTTTTGCAGAAGAGGTTTTTGCCATTGAAAAGCCCCTTGTAGACGGGGCCGTTTGTCGCAAAAAAGCCCTTTAGCACGAGAGCCCTCATTCCTCAAAAAATGCTGGAATACAGATACCCAGCAAGAAACAGAGCAAAATCCCACCGTTCTACCTGCAGCAAAGTGACGTGCATTTAATCAGCACAATGTTCAGTGGATCAGGAGTTAGCTGGTGATGCCGCACCCGGCATGCTTCATACGTAATATATCACAACCCAACAGGTAGGGAACATGCAGCACAGGAGGTGGCCCCCAGAGGGATCGGCGTGGGATGAGTGGGGCAAAGGGAGACTCTGTCATCCCAGCACAGGACACTGCAGAAGATGGGGGCGACCAGCTGCCCCAATCAAGTTCTGCATCTCCTTCTGGCCCCAGTGATGGCGTTCAGCCTGACTTCAAGGCTGCCCAGGTCTGGGTGCCTTTTTTGCCTACACTCAACCCCAGCATCCTCGCCATGGGGGGATGCTGTCCCCCCACCCCATATTATTTGTCTTAGGGTGTCATTTACGACCCTTTAGATTCCAGGGGCAGCTTCACAGGACGCTTGCAGGCCAAGTCTAGTCACGCTCTGGCTCTGATGCAGCAAGTTCACGGTTCTCAGCCTCAGCTGTCTGGCTCTGAGAAACAAACCCAGATCTGCTCCCCTCACATTCTCCCCCTCCCAATATCATCTCACATCGCTGCTGTGACTCTGGGGTCCCATAGTGGCTGGGCAGTTATGGAATATCTGTCTGGGAGTTCCGGGGCATCCCTTACCACTGTCTCCTATAACTTTTTCCATCCGTGTGTGGAATAAATTTTGTTATATGCACTGATGCAGATGCAAATGTGTACCACTCATAGAAACACAAGCTGTGGGTGCTCTTCTAATCATCGGGGTGGCATTTAAATCTCTCCCTAGTGGCTACCCAAGCACTCACCTTACAGAGAACACTAGTCCCAAGAGTTTTTAATACAGCTTTGTGAAGCCTCTTGACATCATGCAGTTTTTTGGGGGGGAGAGAAGAGGGAACTAAGCTTTAAAAGTTAACTACTTCCCAAACATCACCGGTAATTAACTAAACATGAGGTAATTATCCATAAAGTAGGACATAGACAGTTTACCACAAATTTTAGAGACATACAGAGAAGGGCATTATTACACCAAAGTTTCTGCTACCTGTTACTATGTACTTTTCACCTCTGAAATCTATCTATTTTAGAGTGTGTCTGTCTGTGAGTCTGTTTCTTAAAGAACTCCTCCTACGCTGTAAGAGCTTAGGGATACCAAATTTGGTAGGCTGCTTCCCCTTCTCCTAACTTACAGCAAGGTCAGGGTTTGGTTGTGCCAGGACAACAGGAAGGCCCAGGAAAGGGACTGTTTTCCATAACATGCAAAGGGAGGGGCTGCTGGTCGGAGGGATGCGATACTGACAGAGGCCAGAGGGGGCAGCGAGCCCTCAGGGGAGAGCTATTTTGCAGTGTGTCCACTGGGTGCACAGTCCACTGCCCCATGCCACCCCCCAGGGAGAAGCCAGTAGCCAGCCCCACCTCCTGTCCTGATTCCAGCACCCTTCTCCGGCCTCCTGCCTTGAACCTCCCACATCCACATGGCCCTGTCCCGACTCCTGCACCCCCTGCCCTGATGGACCTGGATAACACCAGGTAAGTCTTCTAGCAAGAAAAAACAATCCTAGACGAGAACCTTCTCATTACTTTGTGAATCTCGGAGGCTACATCTACACTCCAAGGTTGTGTCTAGACTGGCCAGATTTTCCAGAAAATCAGCCGCTTTTCCAGAAAAACTTGCCAGTTGTCTACACTGGCCGCTTGAATTTTCGCAAAAGCACTGACTTCCTACTGTAAGAAATCAGTGCTTTTTGCGGAAATGCTATGCTGCTCCTGTTCGGGCAAAAGTCCCTTTTGCGCAAAACTGTCGCGCAAAAGGGCCAATGTAGACAGCTGAGATTTGTTTTGCACAAAAAAGCCCCGATTGCGAAAATGGCGAGTGGGGCTTTCTTGTGCAAAAACGCGTCTAGATTGGCCACGGATGCTTTTCCGCAAAAGGTGCTTTTGTGGAAAAGCGTCCGTGCCAATCTAGATGCTCTTTTCCGAAAATGCTTTTAACGGAAAACTTTTCCGTTAAAAGCATTTCCGGAAAATCATACCAGTCTAGACGTAGCCCAAAGGTTTTGCGCAAAAACCGGCGGAGCGTCCACACCTCAAGTGCATTTTCGCGCAAAAAAAAAAAAAAATCGGCAGGACAGAGGGCTTTTGCCGGTAGAGTTATTCCTCTCCCCACAAGGAATAACTCCTTTTTGTGCTACAGCTCTTGCGCAAAGAGGCAGGTGTAGACGGCTCTGGAAGGGTTTTTGCGCAAGAAACCCTGATGGGAAAAAGCACAGGTGTTCTGATGGCCATTCACTCTTCTTGCGCAAGAGTCTCCATGCAGCGTGGATGCGCTCTTGCGCAAAAGCACATCGCTTTTGCGATGCGCTTTGAGGTCTGGATGCGCTTTTGCGCAGGAAGTTTTTGCAAAAACCCTCTTGCACCAAAACCCTGCAGTGTAGACAAAGCTCACAAGATACAGGTCATCACAGTTACTGTCTTTTCCCAATTCTTTAAGACTCTAAGGCTACGTCTACACTGGCATGATTTTCCGGATATGCTTATAACGGAATTTCCGTTAAAAGTATTTTCGGAAAAAGCGCGTCTAGATTGGCAGGATGCTTTTCCGGAAAAGCACTTTTTGCGGAAAAGCGTCCGTGCCAATCTAGATGCTCTTTTCCGAAAATGCTTTTAACGGAAAACTTTTCCGTTAAAAGCATTTCCGGAAAATCATACCAGTCTAGACGTAGCCCAAAGGTTTTGCGCAAAAACCGGCGGAGCGTCCACACCTCAAGTGCATTTTCGCGCAAAAAAAAAAAAAAAATAGGCATCAGTGCTTTTCCGGAAATTCAAGGGGCCAGTGTAGACAGCTGGCAAGTTATTCTGGAAAAGCGGCTGATTTTCCAGAATAAGTGGCCAGTGTAGACACAGCCTAATTGTACATCTCACGGATTTAGCCATAGAATGGCCCTTGTTACAATTTACAAATGGATCCAACACGTGTCTCAGAGTACGTCTCCTCTACCAGCCGGAGCAATGGGGCAGCGATCGATCCAGCGGGGGTTGATTTATCGAGTCTAGTAAAGACTTGATACATCAACCGCTGATTGGTCTCCTGTCAACACACTGCAGTGAAGACATTGTGGCAAGTAGATCTCAGTATGTGGACTGCAGCGACAGTCTTCACCCAGCTGAAATTGTGTAACTTAGATGGATATCCATTCTCATAGTGTCGACTAGCAACGGAAGCAAGTAGTCGAGTCCTATACTTGACTACTCGCTTCCTCTCTACTGCCTCTGTATCAAAGGCAGCAAGGGATGGGGGAAGAGGATCCAGTGCTGGGAAGAGCCGGTTTAAAAGCTGGTTCCCCCCCAACACTGCTCTGTGGAGCTGCCTGTTCCCCCCCCCCCCCCCCATGCTGCTGCCTTTATCAGAGGCAGCAGTGGAGGGTGGGGGTAAGGAAGGCTGTCACAAAACAGCCCTGTCTGTTGTGGCCCAGGCTGTCAGAGCTGCAGTGGTCCCCGCTCGCGCAGGTCTGGAACCCACCCCCGCTGTACGGTGCCTGTGTGCTTGGCTTCTACAGAGGGTCCCCGCTATAAGTCATCCTGCTATACATCCTTTCCATACTAAAGTTGTTGACGTTTGTAGGAACTGATGTGTTATAAGTCCTCCCATTCCCCGCTATAAATGACGTGAAACACTTCCCCCCCCCAATTTGCTTAAATGGAAGTCAGCCACGGAAAAAAAATTCCTCGCTTGAAGTTGTTTCACTAGAAGTCCAAGTTTTTTGGAATATATCTTGGATTTATAGCGACGACCCTCTGTACTACATTTAAACTGCAGCGCGCCGCAGCGGGGGTAACTCTGGACCACCATGAGCCAGAACAAACACCTTCCCTTATCGACTAATCATGTAGTTGATACAAAATGTATTGACTACACAATTAGCCAATTACACACCTTTTAACCTCTTTAGTGTAGACCTGCCCTGAAGATTGAATCTGGGTCAATTATCCTGCAAGCTGCTTAACACTTTCTGGCCCAGTGTCACAGAAGTTTAGCTCCTGCATGGATTCTCTCATGTTTAATTAGATGTGATCTCTGTGTGAAACTTTTCCCACAGTCCAAGCACTTGTGGGGTCTCTCTCCTGTGTGGATTCTCTGATGAATAACAAGGGCCGATCCCGTTGTGAAACTTTTCCCGCAGTCTGAGCACTGATGGGGTCTCTCTCCTGTGTGGATCCTCTGATGTAAAGCAAGGGCAGCCTTGGTTATGAAACTTTTCCCGCAGTCTGAGCACTGATGGGGTCTCTCTCCTGTGTGGATTCGCTGATGTGAAACAAGCGCTGCCCTGTTTATGAAACTTTTCCCGCAGTCTGAGCACTTATGGGGTCTCTCTCCTGTGTGAATTGCTTGATGTATAACTAGGGCTGACTTCCGTACGAAGCTTTTCCCACATTCTAAGCACTTATGAGGTCTCTCGCCAGTGTGGATTGCCTGGTGCTTAACAAGATCTGACCTCCGTTTAAAGCTTTTTTCACAGTCCAAGCACTTATGAGATCTCTCCTTTGTGTGGATAGCCTGATGTCTAACAAGGTCAGACTTCGATATGAAACTTTTTTCACAGTTTAAGCACTTATGAGGTCTCTCTCCTGTGTGGATTCTCTGATGTTGAAGAAGGGTTGATCTTTGTACAAAATTTTTCCCACAATCCAAACACTTATGGGGCCTCACTCCTGTATGAATTGCCTGATGATTAACAAGGTCTGACCTCCGCATAAAACTTTTTTCACAGTCTAAGCACTTATGAGGTCTTTCTCCTGTGTGGACCGCCTGATGTTTAACAAGGTCTCCCCTCCGTATGTAACTTTTTTCACAGTTCAGGCACTTATGAGGCCTCTTTCCTGTGTGGATTCCCTCATGTAAAGTAAGGGCTGATCTGTTTCTGAAACTTTTCCCGCAGTTCAAGCACTTATGGGGTCTCTCTCCTGTGTGGACCCTCTGGTGTGTTATCAGGGCAAACTTCCACCTGAAACATTTCCCACAGTCGAGGCATTTGTGAGGTTTGGCTGCAGTATGAATTCTGTGATGTTCAATAAGACGAGAGATGCCAATGAAACTTTTCCCACACTCGAGGCATTTATAGGGTCTTTCTCCCGTGAGACTCCTACTATGTTGAGTGGGTTGTGAGCTACAACTAAATCTTTTCCCACAGTCCAGGAACTTAGAGGGTTTCTCTCCTGTATGGATTAGCTGGTGTTTCATAAGGGCTGACTTCCAATGGAAAGTGGTCCCGCACTTTAGGCATTTATAAGGTTTCTCACCATCATGGATTTTCAGATGTGTAGTGAGGTTTGTGCTAGTACTGGAGCTTTTCCCATACTTCAAAGGTGTAAACGGTCTCTCTCTCGTGTGGACTGCCTGATGTCTTTTAAGGTACGCGCTTAGTTTGAAACTTTTTCCGCACTCCAAACATTTATAAGACCTCTCTCCCGTATGGACGGCCTGATGGGTAGCAAGGCCCGATTTCCGCGTGAAACGTTTCCCACAGTCCAAGCACTTATGGAATTTCTGAGCTGTGTGGACAGCCAGATGTTTGACAAGGTCTGACCTCTGCATGAAACTTTTCCCACAGTCCAAACACATATCGGGTCTCCCTTCTGTGTGAGTTGTCTGGTGTTTTGTGAGCTCTGACCGCCGTTTGAAACCTTTTCCGCAGTCTGAGCATTTGTGGGGTCTCTCTCCTGCGTGGCCTCTCTGGTGTGTAGTTAGTGCGGACTTCCAATTCAGACAGTTCCCACGGTCGAGGCACTGAATTGGTTTCTCTCCAGTGGGGCATGTTCCATGGTTATGAAGGTCTGAGCCATTATTGACACTTTCCCCACAGTCCAAGCCATGAAGGGGTTTCTCCTCAGTGTGGTCTGGTTCAGGTGTCCCAAGGGGCGATCTCTGAATGAAGCGTTTCCCATCCTGGAGGCAGTGGTAGGGTTCCTCCTCTTTGAGATCGATCAGCTGGATGGTGAGATCCTGGTCTTCTCCCTCACATTTAACAGATTCATCCACATTCTTCCCTGGAGCATTTCCCAGCAGCCTCTCTGACCTCTGCCAACGTCCCCCGGCTTCTCCTTGTTCCAGGTACGGCGGAAAATTCCCTTCCGCTGGTCCCACAAAGATCCCCTCTGGTTCCGCTTTCCCAGGAAGTTCCTGATATTGAGTCTCCTCCTCCTTCACATGCACTGTCCCATCACCTGCTGGGAGAGAGACAATATAGGCAGGAGTCACTGAGCTGGGGAGACAGAGGAACAGCACCAAGGGAAAACCCAACACACTGAAGATGCACAGACCGAGCACTGGGATTCTGCCTCTGCTTCCCACACAACCACTCACAGAGAAGGAAAGATGGGAAGGAAACTTCTGTTGCTAACAGGACGGGCGGGAAGCTGTGAACAGTATCAGCTGTGCAAACCACAGCCCTGCCTCGGGGTGAGATATGGCAGAACTCAGGGCACTTACTCACACCATATTTTTGGGACTTTCAACTTTTTCCTTCATTCCCCAGCCGGTTTCTGTGTCAGTCCTCACCTGTGCCGGTGCCTCTCAGGATCTCTCTTTCCTCCCCGGCCTGGAGGTCGGGCACCCAGGGCTCTTCCCCTCGTTCCAGCCGGGCGATCAGCTCAGGTTTGGGAAGGGGAAACCCTGCGCAGGGGGTGAAATCAGAGCTGGTCAGGGCGCATGGAGGATGGGGAGAGCGTCTGTCCCAAGGGACATTCCGTGAGTGGAACCTGTCCCCGGGCTCTGCTGGGGAATGTGCAACCCAAGAGGACGGGAACATGGTCACTGAGCCCCCTGGGGAGAGGCAGACATGTGGGGAGGTGAGAGGAATTGTGACGCCCTCCCTAGGAGTTCCCAGGATCTGGGCAGTCTGGGGCCCTTGCTGACACTCACAGCTCTGCAGTTAAACCCCTGCTTATTTCTAAACCTGCAGAGGTGAACATCTGGAGAGGTGAGGGGAAAATGTTCCACTCTCTCAAGGAGTTCCCAGGATCTGGGCAGTCTGGGGGAAGGGAGAGGTCTATCTGGTGCAATTAAACCCCTGCCTATTTCTAAATCTGCAGAGCTCAGAGACCGCCCTATGGCTGCAGCGCGTCCCAAGTAGGGAGGGGAACAGGGATTCTGGGTGCGAGTGAGGAACAACCCAGACAGGAGGATACATGGCCCCTCGCCTTGAAATCTAGAGGGGCCGGGTGGGGATGATTTAGCACGTCCATTAGGGTTTGACACCCTGGTCTCACTGCACAGGGTGCGGAGATGCAAGTCGCTCTCCCCCGGCAGCTGTGCCCATGGAACCCATTCCTGTCCAGGCCACCTGAGCAGGGAAGAACCTGACCCGTGTCGGACACGCAGACCCCACGGCTCCTAATCCCCGAGGGGCCAGGACGCCCTTACCCAGCGAGGTCACCGCCTCGTAGTTCTCCTGCATGACGTCCCTGTAGAGGGCTCTCTGAGCGGGGCCCAGCAGCGCCCCCTGCCCCGGGGTGAAATACACAGCCACCTCCTCGAAGGCCCCTGAAAAAACAAAATAAATTTCCAAAGCCAGTCTAGAGGGACCAGCGTAGCAGGAGTCCTGCCCATTCCTTGCCACACAAGTTAGGGCAGTTCAGGGGTGGGAGAAGAGGAGGGCTCCTTGTCCCACCCAGCACACGGAGCAGGGAAGGGCCGTTTCAGTCCCCACACACCTGTCAGCCAGCGCTTGTCATAGGAAGCTGAGCTCTGAGCTGGGGCGAGGGATCCTGAGAGCACAGCAGCCTCCGGGCAGTCTGTTTAGGCCCCCCCGCCCTGCGAGTCTGGAGAACGTCCGCAGCCCTTTGCCAGGGGGGCTGTTTCCTTTTGCAGAAAAGGGGCAATTTCCCCTGCGGCCAACGTGCCTGTTCAGAGAATCGGCAGGTTCATCAAATCCTGACTTCTTCCTCCCCGCAGGGATAGGCAAAAAGTCAGAATAAGTTACCCACAGAAAAGAAAACATAACCATGCAATGGAGGGAGGGATAGCTCAGTGGTTTGAGCATTGGCCTGCTAAACCCAGGGCTGTGAGTTCAATCCTTGTGGAGACCATTTAGGGATTTGGGGCAAAAATTCATCAGTGTTTTTGCCCCACTTGGACCTGCTGAGAAGGCAGGGGACTGGACTCAATGACCTTTCAAGGTCCCTTCCAGTTCTAGGAGATAGGCAATCTCCATTATATAAAAATCTGAATTCTCAGCCCTCAGCCTTATTAGATGGGGCTACCTCTACCTCCAGGGCTCACCAAATAATACAATCTACTCACCACAGGAGAGCAGAGCAGATTGTAACCCAGAAGAGCCGGGTTCGGGTGATCTGAGCATGTGCAGATCGCTGGACAGCGCAGCTGGCGAGCCCTGATCGTTTCTAAAAGGAGGCCACTTCACAAATTTCGGAAGTGGCCCCGGGGCTGCTCTGGAAAGGGCAGGGCCAAGAGATTTCTCATGCTCACAGACCCTGAGTGGCCCAGGGGTGGGGGAGTGTAGGAAGTCTTTACCCCCCTGCCTTCCCAGCCCCCTCCAAGAGAATTGCCAGCTGTTTGAAAACAGCTGTCAGTTTCCTCTAGGAGCACCGCGGTGGGAAGAGACTTCATGCGCTCCCCTGCCCGCAGGCCTGAGGGTGGGCACCCAAGTCCCTTACCCCTGTACCCCTGCCTCCACCCTGCCAGGGGCACCGTCCCTTACCCCTGCCTCCACCCTGCCAGGGGCACACAGCAGCTAGAGAGAAGCACTGATTGTTTTAAAACAGCCGACAGTTCCCTCTGATGCTGCACGTCCCAGGTCGGGGGAGGAGACTTTGGGTGCTGCCCCGTCCCCAGATCTCCATTGGCCTGGGGGGCTGGAGAGCGGCAGGACTGGATCCACCAGCTTAGCGGGCCGGATCTGGACCAGGGAGGCTCTTTTGCCCTGATCTATGCTGACAATTGACCCACAAAACTTTTGTCATGTCACGGCGCTTAAAAAGCCCCTCCCCCTCCCCAAAGGCAGCAGTTTGGCCAAGGCAAGTGACAGCAGCTGGCTGGAGGCAGGGGCGCTCTCCTGTTGGCAACGCAGCCCCCATGCCTAGGGGGTGGAGAAATTTCGGTGGCAAAAGCCCTGACCAACAGCACTTCAACGGCCTGGCTTGTAGCTCCATGAAGGGGCAAGGATCTGGATCATGGAATTCGTCACCTGCCCCCCTTCTTGTGTGACCAGTTACAGGAGAAAATTCCCCACTGGCTGCTAGGGAGG